GAATGCAAAGGTGAGTCAATTTAAGCTGTAGATTTTATCATCAGTTTTCTCTGCAATATAACCTTTAGCTTCAGTTTTACCATCAGCTGTGTATGTAATAGAAATGGAAGCTCCGTGATTGGATGTTTCTTGCTGAAATGCACGCTGGGAGTTGAAGTACCTTTGAGCGTTTAATCAAAGAACAAGATACTTTCACACACAGTTCATCTTTGGTAGTTTAACGTCCATCCAAGACTTGAAGACAGAAGTGTGAGTCATGAAACATCGTCCGAAGAAAATTATATTTATGTTAATTCACAGGTACCAGTTTGATTAATTGATTTATTTACTGATCATTCATCATCTGGGTTTGAGCTCCTGATAAGACGACTCATGAAAGCACTGCTTGTCATTAGCTAGCCTGTTAGCCAACATGACACAGCTGCACCAGCAATCATCTGTAACTGTTTGTATTGACTCTAAAGCATCATTTAGGTTTATTAAGGTTCACAGGTCGCAAATAAACCTGCAGTTTAAACTCTAAAAATAAACTAAAAATAAGACACAAGTTATAACATAGTGGGGTCAGTCCCTTCAAAATAATCCTCTCTGTTGGATTACATTTATCTTTTGTTCCTTCACATCCACCTGAAGGTTTATTTTCTCCACGTGATCAATCACAAAAAGTTCATCTTACATCTGATTGGTTCAGATCTTTAACGTTTCTTCGCATTAAAAACCTTGTGAAAGTGCGAGAGACTGAAACGTTAAAGTGAGTCTGAGTGAGAATGAAGAGTTTTTAAGTGGTTTCTGCCAAAGAAACTACATTACATAAAACTGACATATTATGTTAATAATAACCAAAGACTTAATGGGCAGAAAATGAACCTTAAACCTTGTGCTATGTTTTGATAAATGCTGCACAGTGATGTAAATTATCCCTCATTCATCAAGAGTGGTCTGAAACGTGTAAAACTGAGAGTCTGGTCCTTCAGAGAACGGTCCACTGGAGCCCACGTCACATGTTGACAGAATGAATCAGTGTCGTCGTGACTCATTAAAATAAGAAAACCCTGCTATCTGGAAAATGCTAATCATGCTGCTGTCGAGCTGCAGTTAGCTTACAGCGCGCTATAAAAGGAAATGAAGCAGCTTTGATTTTTGAAACATGAAGTCACCTGTCGAGAATAAAACAGTCTGAGGCCTGGACACTGTCAGAAAAATAACAGAACAATAACATCCAACTTTTTTTATTTTTTTTTAGGGGAAATGTTGCTTAGAGAGAAAGTGGTTTTCTTTTCCTCTCCACTCTAAACAGACACAGAGTTTAAGGCCCTGAACGCACCGTGAGGCTTTTGTCCTGAAAACAGCCCGTGATGCTCGCAAAGATTTATATCTCATAATGATGGAATACATACCATGAGAAAAGACAGGAAATAAGACTCCCAAACACACACCCAA